CATAAAATAATTCTAAAATAAAAGTAATAAATGCAATAAATTAAAGTAAATAATTCTATTTAAGCTAGAGTTATGAACAAATAAATGTGAGGGCAGAGAATTAATTTCTACAGGTAATAACTATCAAGTACACTGGTAATCTGTTAGAAAAACAACAATAAACAAAATTTGTTACATTCTGAACTTTGTTCATACATATAGATACATTCTACGGAACATCAGGTTGAAACCAAAGTTATGTACATTCGATTTATTCTAATGGAGATCAGGTTGAAAGCTTAAAAGTTTGCTAATTTAATGTAAAAAGTTACGAATAAATGTTTTAAATTTAAAAAAACACGTTGTATTGGCGTAACCTGGCCTTAAGCACAATTAATTTCTACACCGAACATATGTACATTCATATATGTATATGTTATATGTATACATATACGTACTTTTGCTTTTTATTTCCAACATTTTGTTCAGGCATATTATTTTCCTTATATAGCAAACAGTACACAAATCATAGAGCAGAAAACGTTCTCATAACAAATTTGGTCAGACTGTCATAAGCATGAATTACGATTATATACAAAGAAAGCCATTAAAAATCTTAAATTGTTAACTTGCATTCAATTTATAACTGACGTTTAAAATTATACACTACTGTTGAATAAAATCCCTGGGGTTCGATGATTAGCGAATTTCTCGCAGAACGCCCAAGGAAATAATTAGCCGAAATTTAAAACTTATCCGCCGCTGAGAAGGTAGCTGGTTTAATAACCAGATAGTGGAAAGACAGGTTCCTGCGGTCGATAACCAGACCTCCAACGCCCAACAGTCGGTAGATTCGAGGGCAAAGGTTTGGAAAATTTCTCGACCACAATCTGGACAGAAAATTACGAATAACGAATTAGTAAGAAGAAGCAGCTGTCGATTTATCAATGAAAAATTGCCACAATTTATCAAAGAAAAATTGTAAACTGGTTTTCGATATGAAATTGCATTTCGCATTAAACGAATGTGCATCCAAATATTCATCCAAATATTAGGTTGCCCCAAAAGTTTCTTTCCGTTTATTAATAATTAATACGTACACAATATTTTATGTTTTATGTTACATTACGACATTCCGTACAATTCATTTCGCTCGATTACTGTTACAGCATCAATGTCTAAGAAATTAGATTGTCTATTTATATAAACACTACCACAGAAAATAATTGAATGCAACTCACGAAAGAAACTTTTAGGACAACCTAATATTTTTCTGATCGAAGAAATGTAAGGATTAATTTCCTGTATGATGTTTCTATTATTCGGAGAAAATTTGGCAGACTTCTGTTTAAAGACAAAAGATGAGCAAAATTTTCTTGGAACAATAGATAAATGAAAACATCGTGCAGCAAATCAGAGATGAGAAAAAAATGTTTGATTAATAAATAATAAATAAAATTAACAAATAAATGTAAACCAGGGTTGTTTGTGCCCTTAAGGGACTGTTTGTTGCGCATTAACAACCTGGTGGGGATATTACACCTGACACCATACTCATGACTTTTCTTCCCAATCGGTTTATGGGGTATACCTAGTTCTCCTGATTGAATTAAAATGAATGAATCTTGAATGAAATTGAATGAATCTTGAATGAATCTCGAATGAATCTTGAATGAATCTTGAATGAAAATGAATGAATCTTGAATTCAATTTTGGGAAAATCTTGAAAGAAAATGAATGAATCGTGAATGAAAATGAATGAATATTAAATGAAAATAAATAAATCTTGAATCAAAATGAATGAATATTGAATGAAAATGAATAAATATTGAATGAAAATGAATGAATATTGAATGAGAATGAATGAATCTTAAATGAAACTGAATGAATATTGAATGAAAATGAATGAATATTGAATGAAAATGAATGAATATTGAATTCAATTTTGGGAAAATCTTGAATGAAAATGAATGAATATTGAATGAAAATGAATAAATATGGAATGAAAATGAATGAATACTGAATGAAAGTGAATGAATCTTGAATGAAATGAATGAAATGAAGAAAAGAATGAAATGAATTAAATGAAAAAAATGAATGAATCTTGAATGAAATGAATTAAATCAAGAAAATGAATGAAACGAATGCAATGAATTAAATGAAGAAAATGAACGAAACGAATGAAATGAAGAAAATGAATGAATGTTCCTGACTTACGGAGTAAGAATTAAATCGTTAAACCTATATTTCTCGTATTAAACATATATCCGTCATGTATTATGCGAATAAAACTGTTCCTATGCTTGATATGCGCGAACAAACAAAATCCAAAGCCACGTGTGGCGATGGAGGGCTGATCGCTCGATGACCTTGAGCAGTGAGTCGATTCGGCGTCGACTCCGCAGTGCGCCTGTTCATTCGCGTTTTCCTATGCAGCACGCAGCCGAGATACGGTCGGGAGCGTATTCTCTATTTTCATTCCAAGCCGGGCCGAACAATGGGGGATCTAAATTGGACAAAAACCAGTCTGCCGTCTAGTTTGGCGAGGCCGAAGGCGTTGTGCGGCGCGGACGGGAACAGCGTTGGCAGCCAAGGGGTCCCACAATAAGGCCCCGTCAGTGTTTGCTACTAACAAACCGCTCGCGCTGGCCAAAATCGATCGACGTTCGTTTGCGCGGGTCCACGGAGCGAGCTCCGGGTGAAAGTCGTAATTAACGTCGCGCACCGAAGGAATGTCCCGTTCCAATGTCGTTCCGGGGTGCGAGGCAGTGTCGCGAGTGGTTCATCGCACTCCCGACCGGTTATGACACCGCTCGCTTTTTATTTAATCACCGACTCCTTTATCGCGCGACTCTTCGAGACTCCGCCTCTCACCGTTTCTTTTCTCTTCTTTTTGAAAATCGCCGACGAATAGCTTCGCCACGCGGATGGTACACGCTTTCTGTCTAATCCATTGTTTCTCAGCGTGGCCCACAGCGCCCCCTGATGCGTTATCGACACCTCGAAATCGGCTATTTTATCGCACTATCTGATTTTAACGGACGATGATCACTTTATCTCTGCAAATGAAAAATGTATTATTTAATAATATTATTTAATACACGTTTCGACTGCTGTGGGTGAAAATTATAGGTTTAACCCTTTGCGCTCGAGTGGCGCCTCTAGGGCGACATATGTAATTTAAAAGTGATTTTTCGAACGTACAGTTTCAATTTTACTTACATCAGAATACAGGTAATTATAAATTGAAACAATAATTGATGGAGTCACGAATGTTTGTAGATGTTTCTTTTCGAAGTAGAGTTTTTTTGCTTTTACGGAAATTTATTATAAAAATGGACAGGATTTGATTCTATAGAATCAAAGGGTTAATTATGTCTCGAGCGCAAATCTTGAATGAAAATGAATGAATCTTGAATGAATGAATGAATCTTGAATGAAAATGAATGAATATTGTATGAATCTTGAATGAAAATGAATGAATATTGTATGAATCTTGAATGAAAATGAATAAATATTGAATGAAAATGAATGAAAATGAATGAATCTTGAATGAAAGTGAATGAATCTTGAATGAATATTGAATGAATATTGAATGAAAATGAATGAATCTTGTATGAAAATGAATGAATCTTGTGTGAAAATGAATGAATATTGAATGAAAATGAATGAATGTTGAATGAAAATGAATGAATATTGAATGAATATTGAATGAAAATGAATGAATCTTGAATGAATATTGAATGAAAATGAATGAATATTGAATGAAAATGAACACGTAGAATTGCACTAAATTACCTTGTTCAACGCAGTTTCAATCTATTCCATAGGCTGGACCGCTCGATATTCGTGTTTATACATGTTTGGAAAACGTTTGATAACGTACAAACACGTACAATTGCACTAAGTTACATTGTTCAACGCAGTTTCAATCGATTCCATAGGCTGGAACGCTCGATATTCGCGTTTATACGAAATCGACGCCAACGGTACTCAGTCAAATCCAACAACAACTTGGAGACGTCAAATCTTGCAAAACCACTGCAACTTTTTTAAAAAGATTAAGACTAATCAATCTCGTATAGGACAATGACTAAAATTATAAGTTAAACATGGTATATAATAATTATGTTGATATTTATGTAAATCGATATGTAACTTACAAATTGTGGTTGCTAATACCCTAATGGAGCATGCGACTTTAAGCAACATAATTAAAAAAAAATAAAGAGAAGTATTCAATAAACATCACTTACTATTTATATCACCTCGTTTGAATAATTCACGATCATAAACTGGAAAAGCGCCGAAACAGGTCTAGAAGTTAGAAAATTACTAATGTTTCATTGGAATAATGGAAAATCCTTAAGAGAAATTGGAAATATTGTATGCAAAAGTTATTCAACATTTCAATGCGTTATTAAACGTTACGAAGAAGTTTGAATCTATATAAACAAAATTAAAGTGTCTATAATCACGAAATAATGCTTTTTTAAAGCTCTTATATGACTTTTCGTACCTTGCTAAAGCCCAAACACGTCTTTTCAAAATTTTTATCTGTCTGTCTATCCGTCTGTTTAACCGAGCTAATCTCCGGAACTACTGAACCAATTTTAACCATTTTTTCAGTAATAAACACCTACACTATCCCCGAGTAACATAGGCTATGTTTTATTTTGATAAGGAGGTGACATACATACAAAAAAAAAAATATACATGTCGAATCGAGTAACCTCCTCCTTATTCGAAGTCGGTTAAAAAATTCGTTTTCAATCTGACATCTTAAAATTTGTAAATAACGAACGAAAAACGAGAATTTATTACGTAGATTTAGTCAATTTCTAAAAATTTAACTTTTCCTCTATCCGTTATCCGGTTTCAAATGCATAGTTGTTCAACGGATAGTGTTCGGCAAAAACTTCCTCGAAATCTGAGCTTTTCAATATACCAAAAAATATATCAAAATATATCAAAAAATATTTTCAGTGGTATTTTATGAAAAAAAAAATAACGTTTGATTGCAAAAAAACGTGCGTTTTCACGCGAAAATCGCCATTTTTTTTCAATAAAAATCGACTCGTTGCTTTGAAATTGGCTCTACATCAGATTTGATGTATTTTTTGGTGACACTTCCGCGCCTCCCTGATTCGGAAAAAGAGAACTGGTTTCTTGATACCTCGAGTCTCTTAACACGTTGATTGGCCATACTGATTCGCATAGAAATGTGTACAAGACTAAAATTTTGTCTCGAGACTATTGGGAATTATAGAATCTAACATTTGTCATATTACCGATTTTTATGTTCCCGTAAAAATGTACGAATTCTATCCAGATTCGTTTTCATCAACACTCAGTCCTTAAAATGAATTATTGAAGTTCCTCAGTGAATAGCTCTGTCACCCATATATGGGTGACATGGCGTTCAACGTGTTAAACCGCTACAGCGGTAGGCGATAAACGCTCGGAATGCACATTTTCGTGGCATTTTGTGGGGTTCCCGAGTGTACAATCGGTTCATTGTGCTCACTCCTCCGTCCTCTATCATTCGCTCTCTCGTTCGTTCTCTCTTCCTCTGTTTGCTTCGAAATGCGTACTGTGCGGGCCTTTATGGAGTTTACCAGGTGGTTTCCAGGTGGTCGAGTCTGAATTTCGAGATCGATTCAAAGGACAACGATAATCTTTTATTCGTTCGATAGGTCCACGGAGCGGGTTCTTTTCTTTCTTGACTCGAGTACAGTCCGAGACAAAATAATGACGCGCTTTCAGTGACCTTTTGAGTCGTTCATTATGGAAATGACCTAAGCACATTTATTTTCTTTGAATAGTTTGAACCGTTTTTATTTAATTACATCTTGAAGAAAAAAAGGAATTTTGTAAGTTGCAAACCAAAATTGTATGTACCGTTGTTAATATTTTCCATATTTAAGGTGTAACAAACAGTATTTGAAAGAAAATCAATGAGAGAAAAGAAGCGAATTATACATGAAAATATCGATTTTTAGTTGGTACGCTACAATAAACAAATCACTGTAATTAATCCCCTGTTGATTTCTAATGGTACTATTTTTACATTCGCATTCCCTATTTACAGAGTAGATATTATTAGAGTAGTTGACGATATTATTGTACAATTAGATGTGCGCCATTACTGAGATATAATCCATTAAAATCTGAATACTTTATATTTAAGTTCTATAGAAATACATTTTATGCTATTTCAAAATCGATTCTCTTCTGGTTCTTTGGTGTTATACATATACATATATTATATTATATTATATTATATTATACTATATACATATATTTTCACGAAACTTCACTTGATTGTTATTTGATTAAATATGAATCATACGACCCTATTTCGAATTAAATTGACCATCTCAATTTCATAAAAGACGACATCAAAATTTTGTACTATTAACACAGACGTTTTTCAATTTAAATCGAAATGCAATTCAGGAACATGCTAAAAATTTTATATACGTTATTAAAACCGAAATTATAAAGCAATTTAAAAAAGGTAACAATTATTGACCGTTCCGTTACCGAGATGCAATTTATTAAAATCGAATGTAGAGAAGTTATAAGCAGTAACAGTCAGCGTTGTTGCCACAATCATTTCTGAATGTATGTGTATGTGTAGATATACATAATTAATTTATTATGGACGTGTGTACACTTTTAATACTCGATTTATGCGCTACATTGAAGTAACTTCAATTTTTGCGCTCAATGTTATTTGATTAAGTATGAATCGTACGAGTCTATTTCGAATTAAATTGACCATCTCAATTTTATGAAAGACGACATCAAAATTTTGTACTTTTAACACAAACGTTTATCAATTTAAATGGAAATGCAATTTAGGAACTTGCTGAACATTTTATATGCTATCAGAACCGAAAATATAAACCAATTAAAAAAAAGTAACAATTATTGGCCGTTCCGTTACTGAGATATAATTTATTAATATTTGAAATTGAATATACACGGTGTCCCAAAAATGTTGGAGGTCATTGAAAGACGTGGTTCGAGAGGTGATTTGAAACAACTTTTTCCTTAGCGAAAATGTTGCACGAGGCTTGGCTGAGGAGATATTAACGGAAAACACTGACCAATCAGAGCGCGAGGATGCCGGTGGACCGCCCACGGTAGCGTTGGCCACACCCTCGAAGCGGTCGCGCTCTGATTGGTCGAAGTTTTCTGTTAATATCTCCTCAACGAAGCCTCGTACAACATTTTCGC